CGCCAGAATGTCAATCTTAATAAATGATTGGATTTCTTTTGAACTTTGTCTGGAGGCTCATAAATTAATTAGGTCATCTTCTGGGAACTTCACATCTTGTTTTATTGATTGCATGTAATATTCTAATTTTCTGAGATTGTGGATTTGGGGTTTTCATGAGCTGTAAGCCATAATCATCACAATTCTGACAAATCACAGCTTGAACTATCTTGCTTTGCATGTAATGAGTCTATTCTATATATTAGTTTCACCTTTTAAGTGCATTACTGAAATAAATGAACTTTTGCACAATATTCTAATTTTTCAAGTTTCACCTGTACACCTGTGTGGGGCTTAATTGGCAGGCTGTTGCAACTCCTGGCTACAGTGCTGCAAGATAGTGCAAGATAGTCTGGGGTCTCTTCTTTTATATGGCACTACAAATTTAATTCACAAGTCTTGGCTGAAGCATCCTATGGAAATGAATCCTATGACAAAAAGCAGTCTTAGGTAATTGAACAAGAGCATTTTCAATAAAAGTAAGGAAATAGAAAAGTTAAGTCCCTAAGTTGAATGTTGTCTTTCTCAAGAACCCAGGAAGTAGTCTTGGGTTTTTGCTGAATTGGCATAATAGTTTACATATGCAAGTGACTAAATCTATTTCAAGTATGCTTATACAGAGAAAACCTATTTCCACTTCATTATGCTTTAATAGTAATTGTCTAGTCAAATGTCCTGGATGTAGTTAAATAAAGATGGACAAAATAATCCTGATTTAAACTGTAACACTTTCTTTATATCTGTGAATTGAGGATTGTCTTTCTATTGTACACCTCTAGAGTGTCAAGCCAGAGCGAGAATGGCTATTGGATATGGCCAAGGTTTACCTGGGGATCCGAAAAAAACTGAAACCACCTTCACGGCAAGTGACTATCAGATGCAATATTTACAGCTTGGTAGATATCTAAATGTCAAAACTGATTACTATTCTTTATACAGGTGGTCCTCAATTTATAACCACAATTGAACCCAAAATTTCTGTTGTTAAGTGAATATTGTCCCATTTTATGACCTTTCTTTTCACATTGTTTTTTTTAACAAAGTTTTATTTATTTTTTGTTACATATTTTGACTTCTTTTATGAACAAAGTGTTGTGCTGGTCTCTCCCCCCCCCCAATTTTACATCTTCTATTATGCATATTAAAGTTTACATCATATTCCCATTTTACATTTCAGTCATCTTATTTTTATTCCATATTATCCCACTTAATTTATTTTTTTCTTAATATATGAACAATATCATTTTGCCTCTCAAAGTTAATCAAATTTAACATATCATTTCCATCTATTATTCTTTTTTATTATTAATAATACATATCCTCAAATTTAATTTTATATAGTAAATGTTTTATTTAATTAATTATCCACAAGTATTAATTTTAATCTATATCCCACACATTTTACTGAATATATACCATTAGCTATATTTACTAAATTTCATTGTGTTCTACTAATAAATCCTTTTCTTTCTTTCCTCCTTTCAACCATTTTCTCTTAGTCTCTCAGGAACTAAATTTCTCTCCTATTCTCTTCTCTCCACCCATTTGCCATAATTTAATAAATGAAATGAAAGAACAGCAAAAAAAAATAATGAAGGGACAAGACATGTGGAAAGTTTTTGCATTTCTCTGTGAAGATACATTCTTAGCTTCTTTGTGTTTGGGCAACTTTTTCTGTTCCCTAGAATCATCCTTTGCCTTTGTGCTTTATATGTGGTACAGAAGATGATTAAGTATGTCCAAAACAGGAAAAAGCAACCTGATTTGGGAACAGAGAGAAGTTTTAAGGAGTGAATTGTCTTAATTACCTGCAAGGCTCAGGGTACCTTTTATAGCTCCAACCTTTCCACCCGCAAAAAAGAAAGAAAAGCATTACTATTAACAAAGTTTTCTATAAAGAACTTAGGGACTACAGGTTTTAGGGATGTGGTTTAAGTGCCTACAGAGTAGCCCCAGTTTCAGCTCGTTAGTTTGTTTAAATTATAATCATGTCCTATTTTTCACTATTACAGATGGGGCTTTACTCTAATTCTTCAAAAACAACAATTGTGAGTATCTTTCACAAAAATATGATCAATGAAGTGAATACAAATCTAAAGTTATATAATTCTGCATCTAAACTGAAACATATACATAAACATAAACATAAAATACAGTGCATATTAGCTACAATGATATCTGGAAAAAATTCTAAGGTTGGGAAGTTTGGCACTTGAATCATACAATGCATATCCAAGATTGTCCATTATAAGAATACAGAGTAACAGAATTGGAAGTGATTTTGGAGGTCTTCTAGTCCAACCTCCTACTCAAGCACTGGCCATGCTTATTTCTACCATTCAGTTTGTTCTTTCTTCTTAGTGCTTTTCTAATATCAAGCACAGAGAAGTTGAGGAAGGAATGACGGTAGAACTCACAAATATTGTTTCATGTCATTTATACAATTGTAAATAATGTCCTAAAAATATTAGATTGGCTGCATTTCAATCTACAAATGTCACCATTCAAAATTTAATGCAGTGTTTCTATTATTGATGAAAAACCTTGGTGAAGTAATGCTCCTGGTTATGCTGGAGATGTAGGCAGTATAAATAGTAAATATTCAACATAAAGAGATGGAAACAATGACGGTATACTATTTTCTATTTTCAGAGATGTAGTTTATTATTCTGTGATAGAAGAGTTTAAAGAGTTTAAATACGTAGTTTCTTTAATAAGCTAAATATTGGAGAACCGCAACATCTCCAGGATGATGATCGTTCATTACTTGCTTTTTTAAAAAATTACTAAATATTATAATTTAAAAAATTATCAGATGCAATATTCATATATATGTTCATATATTTATTTTATATTATTTTCATTTTGTTTTCGTTTTATTATGTACGCCACCTACAGTCACTTGTTGAGATGGGTGGCTATAGAATTCAAATAAATAAAAACAACAATAAAAACTAATACAAATTTTAAAATAATATATAGAAAAGAAAGAAACAGGGAAAAATACAATTAGAAAAGAAAGAAAAGTAAAAATATAATAAAAAGATAAGTAATATATAAAGAAGTGGTTTCCTACCTACATGTATAAACAATTTTAGTAACATCATCTTTTCTTAAAATAACAGATGCTTCTTCCTAATCCCATTTTTTATCTATAAACAAATCCATAAAGCATATTTATTTCAATCCTGATATCAGCAAAAATCTATCAGTAGTAGTACTAATTTTTTTCTATTACTTTCTGTGACTTTTGTAAATTTCATACTCAAGAGATGAAGTTTTGACTATCAGATAGTGGACTTTTAATAACGAGCAGCTTTCTGGGTTTATTCCTCCCTTCTTTTCAAATGTGGAGGAAATTCTGACTGAGGGAATAGCAGTTATCTCTCTCAACATGGTTAGAAAAGGGCAGAGGAGAAGCAAGAGAAAAAGGAGGAGCAAGCATTTTTCAGAGACTCAGGAATCATTGGGTAAGAAAATCTCCCTTCCCCTCGCTGAATTTGACAAATGGTTTTCCAGTCTCTTCTTGAAGGCCTCCAGTGATGAAGTACCCACAACTTCTGAAGGCAAGCAGTTCCATTGATTGATTATTCTCACTGTCAGATAATTTCTCCTCATTATTTCTAGTTTGAATCTCTCCTTGATCAGTATCCATCCATTATACCTTGTCTGGCCTTCAGGTGCTTTGGAAAATAGGTCGTCCCCTTCCTCTCTGTGACAGCTCTTCAAATTTTGGAACACTGCTATCATGTCAGCCCTGTTCCTTCTTCACTAGACTAGCCATGCCCAGTTCTTGCAACCATTCGTTATATGTTTTAGCCTCCAGTTGCCTAATCATCTTTGTTGCTCTTCTCTGCGCTCTTTCTAGAGTCTCAACATCTTTTTCATAGTGTGGTGACCAAAACTGGATGCAGTATTCTAGGTGTGGTCTTACTAAAACTTTATAGAGCGGTACTAGTACTTCACATGACTTTAATTCAATCCCTCTGTTAATGCAATTTAGGATTTCATTTAACTAATCTTCGCTCACTCATAAATAAGATAGATGAACTGCTCCTTTTAAATAAGAACAACTCAGATCTTTCCAACTCAGCAGCTCTCTGTTTCATTGAAACCTGGATGGATGATTCAGTTAATGATAGCTGCTTGCAAATCTTAGGATTTCAGATTCAAAGAGCAGATAGAATTGCAGAAACATCCCATAACAAGAAGGGTATAAGTTATCTGTTTTTATATTAAGAACTGATGGCGTAAAAAATCACTACGCTAAAGAAATTTTGTGATGTGAACTTAGAGACACTATTCATCAATTGCATACCCTGTTATTCCTCCCAAGAGTTTTCTTCATTCATCCTAGTTAGGGTCTACATACCACCCCAAGCTTGCATAAACAAGGCATTGCAAACCTTAATTGACCAAATCCTGTGGGTTGAACAGAGATCTTCAGACTCCCTACTCATTGTATTAGATTTTAATAGTACTAACCCAAACCAAGAGCTGTCAAGATACATTCAGCATGTCAACTATCTCACTAGAGACAAGAATATTATAGACTACTAAAATAAAAGATGCAAATCACTCTCTGCCAAGAAATGCTGTTGAACACTCTCATCACTGTATGATTCACCTTCTACCTGTTTATAGAAAAAGGCTTAAAATCATAAAACAAATAGGTAAAACAGTGAAGTCTTGGACTGAAGAGGTAAAGTTAAAACTACAGGCTTGCCTCAACTGCACAGACTGGAACGTTTTTAAAGCTGCCTCAGTGAACTTGGTTGAAGTCACTGACATTGTAACATATGTTAACTTTTGTGGAAACTTATGGGTGTTGACCAAAACTTTACGCATCTACAGTAATAATAAACCTTGGTTCACAGCTAAGCTCAAACATCTACGTTGTGCCAAAGAGTAAGCCTATAGGAAAGAGGCTAGAAAGCTGTACAATCAGGCGAGAAATGTATTAATGAAGGAGATCAGGGCAGCAAAGATAGGCAATTCTGAAAAACTGAGGAATCAATTCTCCACAATGAACCAGCAAATGTGTGAAAAAGCCTGAAAAATATCACAACAAACCTCCCTCTCATGTAGAAGAGAATCAGCAACTGGCAGATTACCTGAATGTTTTTTACTATAGGTTTGGGAGGAGACCACTGTCAACTATCACTACCCTCTCCATCTCAGGTACACCAACAACAGCTCCTACATCCGATTCCATCCCTCTGGACCCTCTCTCTCTGGTTATCAGAGAAAAAGATGTGCAATGTCTATTTCACAGACGAAAAGATGGAAAAGCACCAGGACCAGACACAGTAATTCCCTCTTCCTTGATTGGACACCATCTTCACCCACTTTTTAAATAAATAAGTGGAAATGTGCTATATCCCTCCTTGCTTCAAAGGTTCTACTACCATTCTGGTGCCCAAGGAGTTGAATGACTATAGACCAGTGGCTTTGATATCCGTAGTTATGAAAACCTTCAAAAGGTTAGTATTGGCCCTCCTGAAAGCCATCACAGATCTGCTGCTAGACCCATTGCAATTTGCCTACAGCACAAATAGATCAGAAGATGATGTTGTCAGTATGGCACTGCACTACATTTTACAACATCTTGAATCCCCAAAGAACTATGTAAGGGTCGTTTATGTAGACTTCAGCTTGACATTCAACACCACCATTCCTGAAATCCTTCACTCTAACCTGCCTTAGCTAGCTGTGCTTGATCACACGTAGATGGATTATAAGCTTTTTAATGAATAGAAACAGCAGGTGAAGCTAGGGAAAGTCACATCGAATACCTGTTCAATTAGCATAGAAGATCCCTAGAACTATGTGTTCCCTCCATTATTCTTCTATGTATATATATCAATGACTGCATCCCAAAGGATCCCTCTGTTAAAATACTGAAGTTTGCAGATAACAAAACAGTCATTGATTTCATTTGAAATGATGATGAATCTGCATATAGACGAGAGGTATATAAACTGGCCCTGTGGTGCAGCTACCATGTTTTCCCCAAAATAAGACCTATCCCGAAAATAAACCATAGCTTGATTTTTAAGTGTGCACCTACCCCCAAAATAAGCTCTAAGTCCATAAATTCTTTTATTTTTTCCTCTTCTGTATCTTCCTATCTGGGGTAAGTTTCCCCTCCATTTAATTCCTCTTTCAGTATTCCACTCCTTCCATTTTCAGAAACAAACCAATCACCGTAAATATCAGAAAATTTAATTTCTTTATATTCATTTTCCTCTTTGATTTTCTGGATTTTAACTGCCTTAACTTTTTCCATTTGATGAATATCTTCAACTTCT